TTAGGAAGTTTCAGCTGAATCCAAGTTTGAGCGATTTTCGTCGTGTAGCACTTTAACATTCCAGACATATTTTAGGTGTTCACAATTGTCTTTAAAGACAAAAAAATAATTTTTTATGGTGAAATATTCTTGTTACACTTGTTGAAAGCAACATGTACAGAATGCTATAAATTGTCCTCGCAATGAAGTAGGTTTTGGTGGACGTCACTGAATCAAGGCATTTCCATGACCATTCATCAGGTACATTTTTGGCAGCGTTGTCATGGAAACCTCTTGATTGATGCAATCAAAAGAATCTGCATCGGTTGTTATTAATTAATGAAACTAATGAAACCAGGATAAAAAACTGAGAATATGAATCAAATTTTAATCAAAAAATAATTTCGAATGGTTTGAAACCATTGCCTTGGTCATCATGAAGACATAGAGGATATTGCATAGCCGTGCAGAGATACGGATTTTATGTTCAAGCGTTGACGCAAGAGAAGATAAAATCCATATCTACAAGTGGCTATGTATGGTAGTATTCTGTTTAATATAAGATTAGTATAGGAAATCGCACGATAGACACGAGTAATGTTTTGAAAGTTCTTGTAATTGCACGAGCCTTTAGGCGAGTGCAATTAAAGAACTTTCAAAACATTATGAATGTATATTAATTCCAAATTGTACGAGAAGATCGTGCGATTTTTTGTTTATAGTTCACTCAACAAAATGTCAGTAAAAAATGTGAAGCGACGCCGTTCATCTTTGTCTATTTGGTGGCCGATTTTCAGTCCATCGCGCAACTGAAATGCTTAAAAAAGATTAGTTCTTATTAGCTTTTACGACATTTTTTTTTTGCCGCTGTTGACATTGTTTTGGCCGTGTTTCCATAGCGACTTAATTCGGTACTCCTCCTTAACGCTATAATTGTACTCCTCTCGAGCAATCAGAGTCGAGTAATTTACTATAAGTGATTGCTTTTTGCTATTTTAATGTAATTTTGTTGAGTGTACTATAATAGATAAAATACAATTTTTTTCAATTTACTATAAGTGATTGCTTTTTGCTATTTTAATGCAATTTACTAAGAATTCATAACAAGGGTGTTATTTTTACATGTAAAGCTATCATTAAATACTTTCACATGTGAAGCTATCATTAAATATCTTCACATGTAGATATTTCACTGATGATTATAATATCAACAAGAAATATTTACCAATGGTATTTTTTGGCATGTAAAGATATCATTATAAATATCATCACATGTAAAGATAGAGTGCTCACACTAAACCTGTGAAACAAACAGAGTGCAAACAATATAACCATGAAACTTTAGTAACACTAAATAGCACAATTTCATGCAAATTCCATTGTTTTCTATTGTTTAGTTAGCACTATTTTGTACTTTTTAGTAAATAGTGCTTCACGGATTAGAGTGCATTCAGTTAATCCGTGAAAYTTYAGTAATACAAAATTGCACAAAATTGTACAAAAGCCTTTGGTTTCTATTGTTTAACTTGCACTATTTAGTACAAATAGTAATTTGTGTTTCACGGATTAACTGAATGCACTCTAATTGTTTGCACTCTACTAACTTTTAGTACTAAATAGTGATAACTAAGCAATAGTAAACAAAGTATTCTGTATAAAATAGTACTAATGAGTACTAATTATTATACATGGGTTTAGTGCATGCACTCTATCGCTTTTTAGTAATAGAGATAAATAGATAATTCATCAATAATTAGATATAAACAAGAAATATTTGCATTGGGTTAGGGTTAGGGTTAGGGTTAGGGTTAACCCTAAAACCCATAAATGAATGTTTTGATATGGGGTTTTCAATGCTAAATCTTAAATTCTGCCCCCTCCCTTAATGATTATTCTCTGAAACACATTTCAGATCCACAACMATTTTGAGCTCCCCCTTAATTGTGCCAGCCCTTCCTGGCCGATAGATAGAAATATCCACAAAGCTAATAAATTTATGGTGCACATAATAAATGCAGCCTAAGATTGTAATGAGAAAATTTGTATTTACAAAATATTAATTTAGTTTATTATAATGTCATAAGATGGCAGTGTTTGTTATTAGAAGACTAGTTGTATATTAGTCATACAATTAATTTAGCCTCAAAGTGCAATTTATAATTAGAATCCATATATTTTTGAATTTATAGTGATCTAGCCTCAAAATGCAATTTATAAATAGAATCCACATGTTTTTGGATTTATATTGTCATGTGACCTAAAAGTGGTTGCGTGACCTGGAAGGATTTGCGTGACCTGAAAGTAATCACGTGACCTGACAGTGATTGCGTGACCTAGAAGTGATCGCGTGACCTGAAAGTGATCACATTACCTTTTACAATGCTTTATAAGATTCTAATCAGTCAGAAATAAATCAAAGATTTCAACATTCTAAATTGTTTTTCTGTTTTTCTCTTACATGTAGGCCCCGTCCACACGTATCCGCAAATTTTTTTTGCGGATACGGGTTGCGTCCACACGTGTCTGCAAATTTTTGTATCCGTGTAAGCAAATTTTACGAAAACGGATACGTATGGACGCTGAAAACGATTCGAATGGGCTGCGTGTGGACGCAAACATTTTCGTATCCGCAAAAAATAATTTGCGGATACAAAAATTTCCGGATACGTGTGGACGGGGCCTTAAATTTTACCATGATTTTGCTTTTTCTTTCCATTGCTTCCTTCTTCTAACTCAACAATGATGATGATGACTGATATGATAATGAATTTGATCAATCATTAATAATCCAGCGTCTGATCATGATGGAGATGATTGGTGATAATGATCTAACAATGGTGATGATGATAATGTTGGTAATGATGGTGATGATATTGGAGATGGTGATGATGTTAGTAGTATGAAAGTACCAGTTTTACATCGGGGGTCATGCGGATTCATTGCGGATAATCAATTAGATGCGGATTTTCCACTCGGTCATTTGTATTTTTACGTCACTTCGGGATCCGGATCCATTGCGGATAATCAATTAGATGCGGATTTTCCACTCGGTCGCCATCGGATCTTGGATTTGGGATTCATAGGGGTTTTGAGATCATATTCTACATTTATTTTGGGTCTCTTCATACAGAGAGAAATTTCAAAGTGTTTTTCTATTTTCGCTTGATCTTTTCGCTGCGTGATTGCCAGTTGGATTCGCCTCAGTGCAACTGTCGCTGCGATATGCAGATAATAAATAAATGTCATGCATCATGAGAAATTTGATTATGTTATATTTATGTCGATCTCGTATTTGTGAGAAATGTTTGACAGTATTTTAGTTATACTCGAAATTTTCTAAGTCGCCCAAAATCGTAAATTATGACCTTGATTCTGCAGTTTGCGGTTTCTCTGGTCGGGTAAGAGATCATGCAGACAATAATTATCATCAGACGTGAATTTGTTAAACTTACTTTATTGTTCATTATATTATGTGTAACATATTGTCGAGGTTCGATGAATGCAGTAAATATTGACCGCAAGTGTTTTTCACTCAAGTTTCTTTATTTGCATATTTCGACACTTCAACTTTATTGGTTTACAGTTTAGTCAGAACACGGTTACTGCTTAGAAATTTTCCCACTTCGCGATTGCTCTCAATCGTTCTGAACGTCGTGGAGGCTTCACTACATCTTTATATTTATGAGCATTTTGATAACTTATCCACTTGACTGGTTTCTCTTTACTTGGTGGTGGAGTGGGTAAGAAATATGGCGGGGGTGGTAGAGTCTGTGCTTTGGGAGTGCTGAAGGATGCAGTAGGAGAGGGTTGATCAAAACTAGTAGTGGGTTTTAATGGAGTAGGAGGAACCTCGGTCAAAGTTGATGATCTCGCTCGACTGGGTTCGAAAGAAGGGGTCCTAATTTTCGACGTTAACCTCTCTAGAAAGGAAGGGGTCTTAGGTTTGGGCGTTACATAGCCACTATCGCTGGGGAGACTTGTTGAAGGAACGTTTTCTGGAGTCGTAAAACTAGGAGATGGCATTGAAAGACTCTGACTTGTCAAGGGCGGTAGTATGGTTTCCTGCTTGGGGTATATATAACAGTGCTTGGAAGTTGCTGTTGTAGATTGAGGTATCGATTGTAGAGTCTAGTGTATTCTTTGATCTTCAGTTCCGCGAGAACATTGGGTTCCATAAGAATGTTATCCATCTGCTCCTTTAAATTCTGTATTGTTTTGAGTATGGGTGGTTGTAAATAACTTTGACGTTCGAAATAGTTAGCCATGGATATCATTGTGGCATCATACTCTCCACCATACTGTGATAATGTTGTTGTAGGATTCGGCTGGAAAGCAGTCTGATCATTGGGGAGAACATTGGTTTTGAGTCTGCATTCTTCTGATGCGTTTGGCTTCAGATCCACGAAAAGATATCCATAAGGGCGTTATACAGCATGAACTGTTCTGTCTTGCCTGGATACATCTGCTTTCCCAAAGTCAACCTTTGTAGTTTATCCCATCTCGAGAGAAAACATGTCTGTCTTACTTCGTGATAACTTTAGCTATTTGCATCTTTTGACTAAATGCCCAGAGCCTCAGAGGAAAGTTTTACTTGCAACAGCCAATCCCGAACAAGTCCATGTACTCTCTGAGGTCTGCCATAATCTGTTGAAAAGAGGCATTCCACTTTCTTACTCTCAAAAAGAAGCACTAAGACCTCATGCTAAGGACATAAGAGCGTTAGCTGACTCAGCAGTACCGTTCAAAACAAAGAAAACAATTTTGGCTCAAAAGGGCGGCGGATTTGTGGAAGATATTGCATCACCGTTGATGTCGGGTTTGAGTCTTTTCCTGGTATAAATTGCCCTTTGCAATCCCGCGAAATTCATTTGCACCATGTTAAGACTTCGGTGATCATCATGAAGAGAAAGTGGGTTGAGGATTCTGAGGAAGAAGTATCAGACTCCGAGACCTTTAGTGAGGGAGAGCCTTTGGATAATGAAATTGATCAGATGGTTCAACACCTTGCTAAAAAACTACCGAGGGAGAAGGCTCTAAATTTACTTCACAGCATGGCCGCTTCTAAGGACATTTTGTATTGGAATTCACATGGAGAAATGACTTTTCATCAACGAAGAGTTCCATTAACCAACATGATAGAGTTGATCGAGTATGCTTTACTGCCTTACAACCTAGATGTCAGAACACTTGGAGGTTTAAAAACGTTTACCAATAGATTGGCAGAAAATTGGGATTAACAAACATCTCATCGGCAATCAAAAATTGTTGGTAGATATTGTTGCTGCACAACCGGAAGATGAAGACACGGATGAGAGTGAGACTAAAATTCAGTCAACTGATGACCAAGAAAACGAAGAAGAGCAGGAGGAAGTAATTACCGTTGATGACGAAGATGGTGAAGATGATGACGAGGATGATTATGAGCAGGAGGAGGAGAATGAAGAGGAAGGAGAAAGTATGGACGAGGAATTGGATTATGATGAACAGGAGCAAAACAAGTGTCACGTTTGTCAAGAATCCCAGCAGTTTTCAAAGATTTTTATAGTTCGGTGCCCAACTTGTTATTGGCACGAAGGTCACTACTGAAGGAACGTGAACGAGGTTGTCCGGTGTGACATTCGTACGAGCACGTTCCCTGCTAGTTTACAGAACACAGAGAAACTGCATGTTTTACTGCTGTAATGACTGCAATTCTATTCACCTGATGTCTTTAAAATCAAAGAAATTGAAACTCATCGTACCACAACAAGAGAGCGAAGAAATGGATGAACAGGAAAACCATGCAAAGAAAGATCCTCTCTTTGGCATACTCAAGCTCCCTACCATTTCGTCCATTGTCTCTCGCTGTTTTTTCAGCACGTCACAAGCATCAGCCATACCAATGTCGACACTGCCGTTTCCCCTTTCAACCCCAATTTTCGACGACTCTTGCTCACGAAATGTGCCGGGAGGTAACTTGGAATCAACGTGGAATTCAGTTTCGCTCGTGCCCTTAATGCCATCATTCTTGATCCTGGAATCACACATCTTGCCTTCCCCGCCACTGTCCAATCTCCTTTGGTCCTTCTTGTTGTTGTTCGCGCTAGGAAAGCACTTAAAGGACTCTCTGTTACCATCGTCGTACAGCCTTTTCGTCTCTGTCAGCAACGATGGATAAGGAAGTTTGGTGTAAGATTCGACTGAGCAATCTTAAGGATACTTGTGCACTCATGCGTGGGTACTTTGTCTTGGAAGCACTAATACTCTGCAGCTTCCTTCGTCACTGCCTTCTTTGTCCACATCTGCTGCTAGACGAACATCTATCTCTGCTTCCTCTATCTCGGTTTTTATCTTGAGTTCCACTAATCTCTTCTCCAGCTCCTTCCTTTAGTCGAGGCGATCTAATCTTAACTGAGCCTTTTCTAGCTTGGCTCTGGCTGAAACGTTACTCAACTTGGACTTCCTTGAGCTCCTCGAAACCGAAGACATGCTTCCCTTGGACACAACGCTTTTACTCTTATTCCTTTCAAATTCCTCTGCGACTTGACGCTTGCTTAAAGGGGAGTTGGATACCTGCACATTGGATACCGGGATCGCTGCCTGATCCTTCTTCTGTAAAGGTGTAGGCGCTTTGCCTATAGATACCAACCATTGTCCTCCCTCCGCTGCATATCCTTCTCGTAGATTATCTTGCTCTACGGGCGATATCATCTTCATGATCTTCTCATACGTCTGTGTAAGATTGTCATAAGCTGATTCCTCGTTTCTCTTCCATTGTACCACAGCGTTGACATCTAATGAGCTCATCGCTCTCTCTAGTTCTCCGTATAACCTTGTTAAATGTCCTTATAGGCACTGTACGACTTCCTGAGACTCCGTACCCTCTCGGACAGAGCACCTTCGATGTCTGGTAAAGCACTGTTACCCCTTGATCGGGTGCATTTGACCCGACGGGAAACCTGTGGTCGACGACTCATTAACATTCAGCGGCAATATGTCTGCCGGTATCGTTTGATCGGCAAACCAAGCCATGCTGCTCGTGGAAAGGCGAATTTGATGCACAAATTCCAACTAAAAACATCAAAATCCATATTGAAGCACACGAGAACTGATGTGGCACCGCACTGCTTTATGTGAGAAAACACGGACACTCGTGATGAAGTCAAACTTGTTTGTTTACTTGTAATACTCCGGATCGTTTACATTGATGCTTCTCTGCATTCATCTGAGATTCATGTACACTTCGATCAATAACAGCTCATTTACGGTTCTGAAACATTTACAATCCCTTTACAATACATTCGCTACGAGCATAACGAAATTAAACGCTAATTCTCTACATTTTCGTGGTAAATTCTCCAACACAATCTGAACGATGCCCAGAATGAAAACTTATAATGATATGCATACAGTGGTA